AGTGCCTCCAGGGAGGGGGAGATGCACCCGTTTGAACGTGTTTGTGGTTCTTGCCTCTGATTATCTCACGATTATAAAAATAGAAATAACAAAATGTGAGCGGGTCCCTCTCCAGAGGCGCGTCCTGCTCTCCGAGAGGCCCCACACTGCCCGTCAGGGCACCTGTGAGTCAGGCCGTCCCGTCCGGGAATAGAAAGAGAGCTTGCAGATAAAGAAATCACTTCTGCACACAGCACTTAGCGTCTGCTTGCTCTTCCATCTATTTAATTCCTGCGCTAAGCACAGGCCATGGCTACCACTCCCTCTTCTCTCGGCTGCCTCTGGGACCTGGGCCACGGGAAACACGGGCCGGTCCTGGGAGGGTGTCCCTTGCACAGGGGCTCCTGGACCCGGGGCAGGGGCTCCGGGACATGGATGGAGCCTGTCCAGGCAGAGACTCGCCCCCTTTCTGGGGTGCTGTGTCCTGGGCTGGAAGCCGTCCTCCTGTGGGGGCCGCGCTCCCGGCAGGGCTGGGGCTCTATCCCCTGTCAGTCCCTGAGGAAGGAGAACCAGGCAGGGCTCCACCGGCCCTCAGACTCGCGTAGCAGGCCCTGCGTTCAGCGCTTTATTATAACACCTTCCCTCACACACGACCCCGTCACGGCAGGACTGGCCCCAGGCCCTGGACGCCCAGGTCCATCGTGGCTGATGTCCAGCCTGTGCGTCCGCACACCGTCCCCACCTGGGGGGAGAGGGAGCCTGTCGGTCTCTCGGTGGGGCCTGTGTCCAGCCTGGAGGCCATGAGGCAGGCAGGGCCCCCGGGGCAGCGATGACTATGGCTTTCACTCTCATTACCTGGCTGTGCACCCCCAGCTCTGCACCCCCAACTATGCCCCTCAGTTCTGCACCCCAGCTGTGCACCCCCAGCTGTGCACCCCAGCTGTTCCCCAGTTGTGTACCCCAGCTATGTAACCCAGCTCTGCCCCTCGGCTCTGCACTCCCAACTCTGTATCCCAGCCCTGCACCCCCAGCTCTGCACCCCAGCTCTGCACCCCAGCTCTGCACCCCAGCTCTGCCCCTCAGCTCTGCACCCCAGCTCTGCCCCTGGCTCTACATCCCAGCCCTGCACCCCAGCTCTGCCCCTCAGCTCTGCACCCCAGTTCTGCACCCTGGCTCTGCCCCTCGGCTCTGCCCCTCAGCTCTGCACCCCGGCTCTGCCCCTCAGCTCTGCACCCCGGCTCTGCCCCTCAGCTCTGCACCCCGGCTCTGCCCCTCAGCTCTGCACCCCGGCTCTGCCCCTCAGCTCTGCACCCCGGCTCTGCCCCTCAGCTCTGCACCCCGGCTCTGCCCCTCAGCTCTGCACCCCGGCTCTGCCCCTCAGCTCTGCACCCCGGCTCTGCCCCTCAGCTCTGCCCCTGCACCCCAGCTCTGCCCCTTAGCTCTGCACCCCAGCTCTGCACCCAGCTCTGTACTCCCAGCTCTGCACCCCAGCTCTGCACCCCAGCTCTGCCCCTCAGCTCTGCACCCCAGCTCTGCCCCCCAGCTCTGCACCCCAGCTCTGCACCCCAGCTCTGCATTAATCACCACTGCCCGTGTCTGCTGCACTGATTTTCCCTATCATTGTAGTTGAACAATGTTGGTCTAGAAAAATCAGATTATGATTATTCAGAACTTCTCTGAAATGTGCTAGGAAGCCAAGGTGCTTACTGCTAAGTCACACCCACTCGTGAGCCCTGCGAGAGACGGCTCTTCAGGGAAGAAATGCAATCACGGGCTCACATGGAGCGGGAATGCCGGCCTGCGTTCAGGGCCACGGCTGACGGCTGGCAGGAAGTTTCTACACCCCAACTGTCAATCAAGTTCAAAGGTCTGGTCTTGAACCAGGAAGTTCATCTGCGGAGGAGACGGCCTTGCAGCCTGTGGGGAGTCCTCTCAGCGTGACCCAGGGAAAGTGGATGAAAAGAACTCAGAGGCCAGACCCACGGAGGGAACGGCGAGAGGGACACGTGATTTTTCTTAGCGTCTTCTCTGAATTGTTCGTGACCAAGAGATTCGGCGGGAGAGCTGCCACTACAGACGATCGATGATTTGAATGGCACCCAGCATACATGTGCACATGCACATGTGTACACACGTACACACACGCACAGAGACACGTGCACACACATGCACGCAGAGACACACATGTGTACACACACGTGCACACACTTGATCCTGCATGACCAACCAAACACCCGGTGCCATGCAGGCTCTGCACTGGTGCAGGGGGCCTGCGGGGCCGCGCGGGGGCCTTCGCTCGCTCACCTTTCTCTCCGGAGACGCCATGAGCTTCCAGTTGTTGAGCTTCAGCTGCTGCAGCTCATCGAACTTCATGCTGACGTCCTCCACCGAGAGCTGCAGCATGTCCCAGTAGCCCGCCAGGTCCTGGGAGGTGGGCCTGGGCATGGCGCTGGGGTCCTGGAACACACAGCGGGATTAGAGCCGGACGGAGGGAGCT